TGTGATTGATCTCCGTACGCTACTTTGTTGCGTATCTTTGGGACAAAACTCTACACAATTTTAAGAAATTAGTCTGGCCGAAAAGATGAAATACTCCTAAGTGAAAAAAAATGAAAATCATTGCACGAAGGACCACAATGGTTCTAAAATAATGAGCATTCCCATGATGACAGAAATTGCAGCTGCAAGAGAGACACCAGGTTGCACCAAATCTTTCTTCCATACAACAGCTACATTCAGAACTCTCATTTGCAGTTTCTTTTTAAGTAATCTAAATATCAGAAGCTGAATATAATCCGCCGTCTAATACACATTATCCTGATGATCATCTAGGTGACTGTTTTTACGACAGGAGGCAGAGTCTTCAGAAGTGACATCGAAGGCCGACGTACGGTGTGATTGAGCAGAAGCATCAGACTTAGAAGCGTTAGAGCTCCGGCTTGATGAGCTGTGCCAAGTGACACAGGTACGTATGACAGAAGAGTTGATACTCCCAAAGTGACCTGCCGATGGAGCAAAATTTATTTAACAGATAAATGTAAAATCTTTCAAGCATGTCTGACAAAAGCAATCAAGCCAATGAACTGGCCAGACAATTGTGATAAAGCTCGCCAACGAGGATTGCTAGAGCTTAGTAGGACACACCTGCAGAGCCGCCATGCCTACTATACTTCCGATCAAGGAACGTATGGCAGGATGCAGGTCTAGTTTCCGAGTTGAGAACCATAAGCCACCAATTGCTGCTAAAGTCGTAGTGGCAAGTATACGATGATCAAGCTGTTAAAGAAATCGAGTCTTGTTAATAGAAAATTTTGTATACCAGCACAAAATATGGATTCTAACAAAGATGAGACTTCATATTTGCATCCGGTGAGAGAACTAAAGTTAGTCCATCTTTCAAGAACATAAGCATTAGAGAGCCAAGTTTGTCATACAGTGAATCGAGACAAATATCACACAAAGTAAATACTTAGGCAGCCAAGCCATAAAACTTCAAGATTATTAAACCTACATTGCTTGAAAGTTTTCTCATAGCATATTGACTACAGTAAATCCGACTTGGTATCTTCCATCTACAATCATTATCAATGTCAATGAACGAGGTTGAGTACTTGATTCACACTTCTATTTCTGTCCTGATGATCCCAAAGTAGAAGGTCAACATTATCTGAGAACCATCTCTTCAATGTGCTAAATTTTGCTAGCAGAAAAGGAAAAATAAAATAAATGTAACATCAAATATCCAACCTTTCTTGTGTTAGTGTCCACATCATTTCATTTCCTAAGTAGATTCCTACAATAAAACTATTGATAATAAACAAAGACAGCACACTTCCTAATCATAAAAAGAAAAGTTCACCAATTCATCTGGAATCCAATAATATTTCTGCAAATGTGAAGTCTGACTAGAAACTAAGAGAGGTTACCTGCACAGTTGATGTATTCTCAAAGAAGTTCCGCAGAAGAGGCTTCATACTGAAAATATCTTTTGGAACCCATGTATCACCCATTTTTGGGAAAGTGTTAAAGGCACGACCCTATTGATTTTAGGTGCAGCCACAAGTTAAAATGTATATATATCTGAATCATGAAATACAGAACTTGTCCTTTGATTATTGGCAAACATATCAAGTTGCAAAGAGGCAATAGGTACATACAGCATCATTTCCTGCAACAAATGCTCCTGAGACAGCAGTGATTCCGACAAGGATGCTCACAGGAATGGCAAGTCGCTTAACTTTTGCAGCACCCTTAACCCAAGCTACTGACTTAGCAGGAGGTTCGGGCATAACAACTGAAAGAGCAGTCCAAAAGAGCCCACTGTAAATTACAAATGCTGAAGTAAGATGGGCCGCAAGGCGGTAAGGACTGACTCTTGGTTCAGCATATTCAGATGCAGGGTCCTATAAAGGAAAAGAAATTAGACCTTTTTGAATAGATATGTGTCAGATATTAATCATTGCAAGTAGAAAACCCAGTTCTTGATACCTCTAAACCACTTTTAACCATCCACCAACCTATTAGTCCCTGCCCAGCACCAAGAGCAAATAACCCAGATAATCTAAGTCCAAGTTGTAGAGTAATATAACCCTTGCGGAAAAAGTAAGAGAATGGCAGAGCAAACATGATACCCAGTGCTCTTCCCCACATTCGATGTGCATACTCCATCCAATAAATGAACTTGAAATCATCAATACTCATCCCTTTGTTTACACTGCAACAACACAAATATAAGAAATGCAGCGAAAAGTGCTCCCAAGTGAACGTGACTAAAAAATATTGTGACTAACATAAAAATTACTATCATGTTTAATGATCAGTAGAGACCTAATCAACAAACAAAAAGCACAGAAAATTCATGAAGACACAAAATACCCTATCAGAATATCATATGCAGCAAATAAATAAATAAATATCAGCATAAAATGCACCAGGATTTCCAAAAAGTTAATATTGTAAACATGACTGATTCTTGCAAAAGTAAAACAGCAAATAATTTGAACTACAGAAGCATAAAATGCTACCTCAACTGACCGTTTATATTCAGGTGACTGTTTATATTTCTCAAATTCAACCAGCCAATCTTCATCTGTTAGAGGAGGAAGCCTCCCAGTGAATTTCCAGTCAGTCATTGAAAGCCCCGATCTGGTTAATCGTGTCATGCCACCAAGCACCACCATACTGAAGACCCAAGCAGCAGATCCAAAAAGCCATATCCCAACCAACTTCCGGGCATGAGGCCCAGCAGTTACAAGGAGCTTCAAACCATCCTTCTTTTCTATAGACGCAGCTGCTGCAGTGGATAAATTCCTAAAGGATAGTCTGCAGAAACCCTGAAACCAGAAAGCTGGGTTAGCAACCATGATCATTAGAACAAAATGCTAATAAAGTCCATGGCCTTGTCCATGAAACGAAAGTACAAGATCTAACCTAATTATAGCATCTAAGTTAAGATTTTTTACCCATTAATCAAGCCAAATTTCCCAGTTTTCAAACTTACAATTGAGATTTTAACAGCATCCTATCCCAGAGGTATTAAAAACCAAAGCAACTAACAGATCAAGATATGGCTAAAACCTGCAGTATTTCCATGTTGCTTCCTATCAATATGACTAAGAATTGAAATAGTTCATATCAAATTTGGAAAAAAAAATGCCATCTTTTTTTTCAGAAAAAATCCATTGCTTCTAATTGTCTACTAACAATCTTAACATTAAACTGCCACCAAATTCGAATAAAGGGATGATCTTTAATCAAAACCTAAACATGCTAAACCCATTATACCAACAAAAAATTCGGAATAGACATTTCTGTTTGTCTATAAAATACCAGAAAAAAGGAAGGAAAACAAAACGAAAAAGGGCAGGAAACATTTATGTTGGTCTATAAGATACAAAAATAAGCTGATTACACTTAAGAAGAGGAACAAGAAATGAACCTTATAATTAGGATAATGATGACGAAATGCTTTGAATCCCAAGTTACTCAAGCTTCTGATAATGCTGGTTTGGCTTGCAGGAATAAGATTAGAAGAAAAAGAAGTGTAAGTTTTTGAGTGGATCAGCAAGGAGGGCTCATTGAAAATGCAAATCTCTGATCTTGATAATCTTGAATTTGAGGAAATTTGATTAACTATGCTTTTAGTTTTTCTGAAAGCTGAGATTAGTCTGCTTTCCATCATGCTTTCTCCACCTTGTTATGATTATATTTCTTTTTCTCACTTCGTTCTGTTTAGAATATTTGAGCAACAGACAAGGTCCACAAGGACAAAGAATGAAGCAGGCTTGCTGCCCTATGGACCAGTGGGGAATTGGCCCGACGATGGAATTAATTATGAGAACCCAAAAATAGTCCAAAAGCAGAATTAGACGATGACGCAGTGTCCAGTGTGAGTCCTTTGGCTTTTGAGAAAATTGTAACATGGTCTGACCCAAAAAAAAAGAAAAAGAAAAAGAGCAGCGGAGTAAAGTCTATTATTATTTATTACTCAACATCGGGTGTATTTGATAAAATTAAAATTTAAAATCTGAATATATTAAATTATTAAATATTAAACTTAATACATTTAAGTATATATCACATTCAGTGATAATTGAATAGTTTATCACTTAATTTTGAAAACAAGTTTTGCTTAGAAAATTCAATGTCAATTAATTAATTCAAATATTCAATTTTTTGTTATAAAACGGTCTGAATATGTGAAGATTTGAATTCATTAAATTTAAGTACTAAATTGAGTTATTAAATCGGGCCCTAATTATTTTTTATTTTTAAGAAAAAAGTTTGAATGAATTTGATCCGATCATCCCCGCGGATCAAGGCATCCGTTCAAGATCATGAGCCCCTTATAAGTGTTTTAACAAATTGTCCACTAGCAGCCAGCATAGCGCCCACATCACAATCTTAGTTGTTACTCTTGGAAGAAAATGCTTACAATCAATCGAGCTCGTGAGTCCTAATTCCTAATCTCACAGACTGAACTCATCCTAAGCATCCTCCTATCCTTACAAGTTACAACATAGCTCTGAACCTTGCCTCAAGTGACATTAAAGAACAGTCTATCAGGTAAATAAGTGGCCTAAAGAGCGTAAAATTACGGAGTTACGGTTGCCAGGAGCAAGTTCACTTTCAAACTTCCGATCAACAATCCCCTAGATGAAGAACTTTTATTTTGCTTTGTTTTGATTCTTCTTCCTCTAATTAGTCAGCGAGGAAGCAATGATGATTGAACTATGCATTCCAAGTTTTGTACTGAGTTTTGTAATAGTAGAAGCGAAAGAACCAACGTGGCCACAACCCTTTAAATGATTTGTACCCCAAGGGAAAAAGCAAAGTTATAGTAGTACCATCTTTAATTACCACTACAGAGACTTCTAATGAGTAAAAAGTACATTTGCATGGTCCATTGCTCCTTATCCCAGCGCAAGTCAAGGCGAGATGGAACTAACAGTACTTACTTTAGTCTACCTTAATTAAATTTAAAGGCCTCCCACTTACCAATTTACTTCACAACACTGGAGCTCAGCTGATAGGGTAGCTTCCCAGTTGCTCTCCAAGGCTTAAACTTAACAAGTTCAGTTACAATAATAGTTGCAGATGGGAGCCAAGGCTAAGATCAGTTGGCCATTAATGTGGCTTTTGTTCTTGTGCTTTTTCCTACTGAATTTGTCTGATGGTGAATCTTCAAGGTACGAGCAGGAAGAGCTGTCGTGGCTGGCCGACAATGACGACGAAATTAACATGATTCAAGGCAGGCATGCCTCGCTCAGGAGATGTGATTTAACCTCTGGAAAATGGGTTTATGATCAAACTTATCCTCTTTATGATCCAAGCACTTGCCCCTACCTTACCACTGCAGTTACATGTCAGAAGAACGGACGCCCTGATTCTGATTATGAAAAGTGGAGGTGGAAGCCAGACGGCTGTACGATTCCAAGGTACCTCAATTACCTTCAAATAAGCGCATAATTTTTCAGTGCATTATTATTCTCCTTTGGGGATTATCTATTCTAGGAAATCTTCTTTTTTTTTAAAAAAATGACATAAAATGCATGATTGCATGCCGTGATCTGAGTATGTATGTAGAATTCGTTGTATCTTTGCTCCATTGAGTGGTCCGGTGATGCAGGTTTGATGCATTGGAATTTCTGGGGAGAATGAGGAGGAGGAGAATAATGCTTGTAGGTGATTCCATAATGAGGAACCAATGGGAGTCTCTTGTCTGTTTAGTCCAATCTGTTATTCCAACTGCTCGAAAAATGGTCACTTATCATGGTCCTGCCATGGCATTCCAAGCATTGGTAAGGACAGAAATTTAGAAAGCTTCTATATGGTTAGACGAAAGCCTCTGTTTTTAACAGTAGAATGGGAATGGTACTCTCAAATATTGTAGGTGCATGATCGGTTTAATTGTTGAATGTTGACAGGATTATGAGACATCGATTGAGTTTTGTTGGGCTCCATTTCTCGTGGAACTGAAGAAAGAAACAGGAGGCAAAAGAATACTACATCTAGACTTGATAGAAGAGAATGCGAAGTACTGGAGAGGAGTTGATGTTCTTGTTTTTGATTCAGCCCATTGGTGGACTCATTCTGATCAATATAGTTCGTAAGACAAAATCTCCTTTTCCCACTTCTACAAGATTAATAAAATGTTTGCATTCATAGCATCATTCCTTGTTGTTCTATCCTATAAAGTAACTAAATTGCAGGTGGGACTTCCTCGCGGATGGAAACAATGCGTATACGACTATGAACCCAATGGTTGCATATGAGAAAGGACTCACTACATGGGCTAAGTGGATAGACTTGAATCTTGATCCTCGCAGAAGTCGAGTCTTTTTCAGGAGCATGTCTCCGAGGCATAACAGGTGATCAACCAGAATTTCGTCCTTTGTAAAATGTAACACTCCAACTCTCCAACATTATTAACTTCCATATTACTCTCTCTGTATAACCAGACTAGAGATTGAATGGGTTCCATGGTCAGTGGACAGTTTATGAACCTCAAAAAAAAAAAAAAAATTGACACAGATTTAGTGTTTTATTAGTTCCTGACTAGGTTTAACCAATGTAGTTGCCTTCTAAGCTTTTGGATTGACTCAAACTGAACCTTGAATCAGTCCTTAAAAAGGCATGCCAAATTCGGCACCAGTTTAACAATGCTGTTATTGCAATGTCTAACAGAGCTTTCCACATGCTGATTTAGATTGAAGTATAGGTTACTAATCATCAGGGATTCATTTATTGGCAGGGACAACGGCTGGAAATGTTATAATCAGAAGGAACCTCTTCAATACTTCAGTCACCCTCATGTCCCTCCACAATTACCTGTATTAAGAGGGGTGCTACGAAGGATGAGATTTCCAGTATATCTGCAGGATATTACTACATTGTCAGCACTTAGAAGAGACGGCCATCCATCTGTTTATGGTAGATCCATAGGCCAAGAAGAGAAACAGCACGTCAAAGGGTATACCTCTGATTGTAGCCATTGGTGCCTCCCTGGAGTTCCTGATACCTGGAATGAAATGTTAAATGTTCTACTATGAACATAAAATCTGAAGCAATTTATGTTCTAAGCACTATGTAAAGGTGGATTGCTCAGATTATTAGTGTCAGTTGTGGTGGTACTTCATCATTTCTCAGTATCATGCGGTTTCTCGAGCAATGCCTGTGTTGTATAAGTATCCTATATAGATTGGAGCGTCTGACATCCGCGTTGTGACTTTGTGGTAGAAAAGTATGCTTATTCATTGGTCAGTTCTTCGTTTTGTTGCAACATCCTTAATCATTTTACTTAATTTGCATTGGTTGAATATGCCCATTGGTAACTAGTAACATCAGAAATTATGCAAGTCCATCTGAAAAGCGATCAACTCCTACACCATTTTGTTCTTCGGCGCAATATTTCTGTATCAACTGTCAAGAAAAGGTGTAAGATTTCTGTACCAGCTAAAGGATTAGTGATTTGTTATTAGTTTAATCATAATAGTCTACAAATGTTCCCAACATGGTCCAAAATTCCCCTCAATTAGGGAAAGAGAATTGATCATGAAGCTTTACAGCTCACCCTTCCAACAAATCATGGTGCCTTCTGTCTCCCAAGCAACATCATTTGCACGCCAACCTTGTTCTTCTTTACTTTAGTGAAATGATGTCTCTTATGTTTTAGCTGCAACAAAGGAATTGCAGAACAAAATACAAACTCAACCCTTTAACTGCCCATAAATCAACTTCTTCACTGCGTTCGGTCGTATTTGAGTATCATGTACTGTCAAATTTGTTTCTCTTAACCTTCATCCATGCAGTACTGCAGCCTGTATAAGTAATACTAATCTAGTATCAAAATTGTCGTGACGAAATGTATAAACTATAACCACAAAACTCTGTGATATTCTGCAAGCTGCAAAGAAATTCGTGATCCTGTACCTTTGAACATGGGTAATCATTTATGTAGTGCTGGACTTTTTTGTGGCTCGTTTTTCCATGAGAACGTGTTCTTTTGCTTTGTCAAAGTGTTAGTTGAGGTAGTTGAAGGTTGAAATCTTTTTTGACTGAGGAGTTCTATATTCATCATCATATTAATCTTTTTGGAGACATTGTCTCTTCTAGAATCGCAGTTTATCTACACTTCAAGGATGTGGACTATATCAAATCTATGTCAGATTGGTCAAGTCCAGACTGGAATCAAATAGATAACATAGGATTCCAATTCAGAACCACATTAACATCATACTGCAATTGCAGTACTATAGCATACCCAAATAGGTAGGTGTATATAGCTTTACCCCAGTGCAGATTCTAGTTCTGTGAATTAGTAGAAAACAAGAATTCGTGAAGTACAGCCAACAATAGCGAATGAGATGTGTTGCTATAAGAAGTTTAACTGAAAACTCCTGACACATTATTATTTTCATTGATACCAGACATTTGATGCCTATAATCCACACAAGTTGCAGCTCAAGTTTCTACTAAAACTGATTTAAAGAATTGTAGCCTAATACAACAAAAGCCAGGAGATTAAGATGGAGTAGGAGAAAGGCCTCCACTCTACCTCAGATGCTAGGATTCAAAGTGCTTCCTCAATTTAGCGAGCTCCTTGGAATTGAATCCAAAAGCCTTCAGCAAAAGCTCATCTTTAATTTCAGATCCAAAAATAGCAGCTGGAATTTTCACCAACCCTGGATTCTGACTGTCAAAACTTCCTAGTATCGTAGCTGGTGAATCTCCAACATTCATCTGAAAGTGTACAAGACCCCTTGGAAAGACCATCACCTCACCCTTCTCGAGCACTCTAGCAAAAACTTTGTTTTTTGTATCAATAAACCCGGAATAAATCTTTCCCTCCAGCACAAATCCGACCTCAGTTGCTCTTGGATGATAGTGCGGGACATTAACCCCACCTGCAGCAAAATCAGCACGTACAAATGACATCCCCAGCGTGTTTAATCCGGGAAAAACAGTTGAGCTAACTGGAGTGGCTGCAAAACCAGTTTCCTTGAAATCGCCAGGGCTTTTTATACCTGAATATACAAAATCTTCAACTGTGACCAATGTTGAGTTTTTGCAAGAAAGGGCATCGGATGAAAGATTTGTTCTTGGTACGCAAAAATCATAGACGGGATCAGGATCTGAAGATGAAACTGCATAGATATGGATGAGAAGTACTAAGAAAACTGTCACCTTGGAAGCCATGGTTAGTGTCTTTATCAATGAAAGAAATGGGCGAAGACTGGACTTTTAAAGAGCTGGCGGCTCTGAAACAAATTATTGCATATATACTGCCAAACGGCCTAGCAATCAACAATATTTACCAAATAAATGACTACACCAGAAGAATTGTGATTAGCACCAGATGTTACTACTTCCTCATCAATTTAATTTTTCACCAACCTTTGACTGAAAATGAAATTATTCTTCAACCTAGAATGAATGACACTCGTTCTCTCTACCAACTTAGCTATCACAACATTACAAAGTAGTATGTGTTGACTTCACCAAAATATATAATATATTCGCATTGCATCGAGCATTCTGCTTCATGGAGTAGCTTGCTTTGGGATGAAGATAAAGAGGAGTAGTTTTTCCTCTCTTCTTTTGTTGTTCAGTAATTAAAGGTGGAGTGGTTAGCTCCCACATGACTGCATTCGAAAGTATGGTCATGCTCATATTTCGTTCTTTTCAATACGCTTTATTACTTTAAATTGCTTGCCTTCGTAGACCAAATAACATAAAGTAAGGATCCTGTGTAGAAAACAATAATGCAGGGAATTGAATTTTACCCAGTTTTATTCTTATATTCAGACTTCAAAGACAAGTGAAGATAATAATGTCATCCAACATTTCAGGCTTAAGGACCACTAGGCAAAGCCCAAATCATGATTCTTGGCCACCTACACATGAATAGAGAGCGCTACATGGTCACTTTGACAAGTTGCTGGGGTACCATCTTTTTCCTTTGGGGGCTACTTTGAAACGAGCATTTTTTCTTGTGGGATGATATTGGCAAAAGATTCAGCAAAGTTCAACATGCACCATTTAGTACTCACCCGATTCTTACTGGCAATAACATGCAAACGAAAAGCAATTTCTGCGAAGATCAATCATCTAAATTCAGTAAAAGTTGCTTTAGACTTGTAAGCTCCTATAAGATGATGCAAAATTGTGGAACTGAATGCAAAGTCAATCTTCATCAATACAAGTAGTGTGCTGCTCCATGTTTGAGGGTGGTGGATGAAGGCGAGTGGTCACCGGACCACGACTTTGAAGTGGGGCATTTGAAGGCGTGGAATTGTATGTTGTCAAAGCATCATCCCTCCTAACTTTTGACACCTTAAAGCGTAGCCTTTCTCATTGCGTTTAAGTGCTCCTTCAAAATAGGGCATTTTAAGGGTGTGTTACCGAATACTCCTATTATATGTCTGTTTTAGATATTAAGCTTTAAAATAATTCATTGTAAGTGTAAAAATCTTAGGTTTGTTAGGATAGCCCAGTTTTTTCCCCCAAAAAAATATATAAAAATTGCTTGTATTATAAAAAATTGAACATTTTTCAATTAGTTTTTTTTTATCTTTTATACCATATTTTTATTATATATATATCATAATACAAAAAGTACAATATTGTTATTTCAATTTTTTTTCAAATAATATTCTATACAAACAAATCCAAAAATTTTTATTGGGTTTTCAAGTAAGACATTTAATTCTCGTGGTTAAAATGTGTATTTCAAACCATCAGTGCGAAGTGTAACATTCACAAACAAAATGTGAAACAAAATAGTATGTTTTTTTTCCTCCTTCTAGTAAAACAAACAATCAAATTCGGTCAAACAATTCATATTTATAAACTCTAACAATATAAAGAATAAATCTTATATACAATGATAGTGTGTACACTATCATCGTTAGATCTATAACATATATATATATGTTGAATTTCAAATTCAAAATTTACATAGTTAATATTTACACTGTCAATGTAAAAAAGATTAATCCTAATATATAAATTTCTTGCCAACCTTGCAATTGAAATATGAGGGACTAAAATAGGACTCTTAAGATACATAAAGGACCTTTTTAACAAATTGTCAATATGAGGGACTAATAAAGGAACACACTCGTCAACCCTAGTTGGGTCTTTACTCTTTGAGTGGTTTAGTAGACACCTTTCAAAGTTCAGACGAACCTGAGTAGCCGCTGTTGAAGATGCTAGGGTTTAGTGCAGCTGTTGCCTCTCTTTCCCCTGTCTCGACTGACGTCGTCAATTTAGCCGCCGTCCTCGCCACCCCACGCGTTCTACGCGCCGTCACTGCTCTTCCTCTCTTCGTTCGAATAACAAATACCATCTCTCCTTCCAACCTGGAGGTATTCAACATCAACATTCAATAGTTCTCCGAATTCTATCCTTTTTTTTCCTGCTTTTGCTTTGCAGTCCATTAGTGGCGTTGTTACTGTTGAAAACTATGTTAATGCTCTATGGTTGGCTGGTTGTAGCATCTGTCTTCGATGATGATGTCATTAAGGTCCAATAGTTGTTCTTCAGTTAAAGCCATGGCTAAAGCTGGTGCTCTTTCAGCACCCACGACACCCGCGCGTGGTACTTTTTTACCGGTCTCATATGCTCAGCCTTTTTTCCGTATTCCCTCATGGTGAATCATTAAATTGTTGAATAGAGCAATGACTTGATCTTTTCATCGTAATGGAGGCAAATACTTAAGAATTGAAAATGGAAAGAAGAATTTGAGAATGGTTAATGAGTTCGAAATTGCTATTTACTAGGCTTGTTGCACTAACTATCAAGAATTATGTGAAAAGTTTTTATTTTTGCAAGTGTTTATGTGTCATTTATAGCTAACTCCAGTATTTTGTAGAAAAATGTAGCAATTTAATCTAATTTGAGATAAATATTTAACAGCTAACATGCTAGCTGTTCTTTCTATCCTTTTTGGCATCCCTGTATTTAATTGATTGAGATCTTTGTTTTCATAGGGAGGAAGCACGCTTTGATTTCGTTATCAGATAAAACGGATGTGGCTGTTCTTGGCAGTGGACTTCAGGAACTGGGGTAAATTAAGTTAATATTTCACATTTGAAAGTTTACATATAGCGGCTGAGCAAGTAATATAGCGGCTGAGCTATGGGGAATTCTTAAAGGATTGCAGCTGGCTTGGGATAAAGGTTACAACGAAGTAATTGTAGAGTCGGACTCGAAAGTGGGGTTGGAGTTAATAGAGGATGAAGTGCTCACATCGCCTTACCACAATCTGGTGAAACAGATTAGGAACATGAAGAGCAGAGATTGGTCATGCAAGCTGCAACATATTTGGAGGGAAGGAAATCGATGTGCAGATTGGCTAGCCAAGGAAGCAATCCGATTACAGTCATCAGGCGGACGATTAGAAGAGCCACCGGAAGGACTAAGGGAGTTACTAGGAGCTGATATAATTGGGGTCACAACCCCACGCTTAATACCATGTTAAAAGGCAGTGGCCTCTCCTTTGTATTCAAAGTTTACATATCTTTTGTTATTCGAAGCTGCTTGCTGGGAGTTCCTTCAATATAGAAATTTTGGATAGCAACTACCATAATCACTATCACTATGGGATGGGATCATTAATCACTATCATAGCTTATGGATAGCAATTTTGGATAATGATTAATCGTTATCCATAGTGATTAATGATCCCATCCCTATCCAAAATTCTACGGATAGTGATTAATCATTAATCGCTATGGATAGCAACTACCTCTATAGAGGCACAGTTGCTTATAGAATGGGATCATTAATCACTATCATAGCTTATGGACTGACAGAATTATCTTTGCTAGTTTAACAACTTCTAGGCAAAAAATTATGGGTGGAATTGGGAGAAAAATATATCTCCCTCATAAGGTGATTACTATAAGAATATTTTAATGATACAAGGTTGAGATTGTTACAAAAAACATGATTTTAGGAGATGTTAGTAATATTTTTGAAACTTTAAAAATGTAATTGATATTAACAAAAATCTTAGGAAGTTTCTAAAATTATCTCTAACCAAAAAGGTGAAATATACCTTTTGCAAGTTTGAGGGATAAAAATTATACACTTAATAATTGGAGACCTAAAGGTATATAAACTAGATAATTTGTGGACTATCCAAATTTTTAACCTCCATTTTTCTAATATTGAACTTTAGGAATTGCTTAATTTGACTTGTTTATTACTCCCTCCGTCCCACTTTGATAGTCCTGTTTTCCTTTTTTGTCTGTCCCAAATTGCAGTCCACTTTCCAATTGAAGAATGTAGTTGTATTTTCATTTTCCTAAAATACCCTTATTCAATACAAGTTGTTGTTGCTATAAACCTATCCCATTTAATGAGAGTTGATTCTTTTTTTACCATCAATTCAAGTTCCCATAAAGTTGTACTCTATTTAATGTGAGGATATTTTAGGAAAATAGCAATCTAAATTTACTTTTCCAACAAAGTTAACTACTTTTTCTTAAACTGTGTGAAAAAAGAAACAGGACTATCAAAGTGGGACGGAGGGAGTATATTGCTACAAATCTGAAATTGCGTAAAAGAAATTGGTGATAAAATGGAGGCACGTGACGGGAAGAAAACCATCCTCCCCTTGCTCCATGTCAAGTTGAACCTCAACGCTGGGGAGTAGCATGCTGGGATCAGGAAGGTTCTCGGCCTTTATTCCTTGAACCTTTTCCGGATGGAGGAAAACACGCAGCACTCATACCAAAAAATGCACAAATTTCCCTAGTGAACCGTCGGGAATCGGGATGGCACTAACAAAAGCTAATTCACTGCCCCCAGGACACGTCCAGGAAGTTGTCATGAGTCACAAAAGGTTTAAACTCTTCACATGGAAGATGCCATTGAGTAACTATCTTCATCAGTTTCTGGCCTCCGCAGGTAGTAACGCAGGCAATTGGTTAGCACCTGCAGGTTCAAACTGTAACTGGAGAGAAGTGCAAGTATAACATGTAAGGAACAAAAGGATAATTGGCAAAACATAGAAAGGAAGTTCTGCTCATTGGAAACTCACAACACTACTAGACCCCTAATTCACCAATTGAGTGGGCCTTTTGACTTTGCCAATTGAAACACGTTATCTTGCCTAAGATCCCAAGACACATTTCTAGGTCAAGAAATGCCAAAACTAGGCTTTCAATAATCTGAAGGAAGGCTTGATTGTTACTGGAAGGAAGCAACAGTCATATTTAGTATGCAATTTTAATCAACTCAAGAGAGTAACTATTGGTTCTTCATCTGGCAAAGTTACTAGGTCCTCAAGCAATCACTGATTAGGAAAGAGTGGAAAATGTTCATTGTATTGCGGAACATATTACTCTTATGAGTGACTAACTGCCTGTGCATTACGTAGAAACTCTTTGTTTAAAATTGCATCCAAGTGTAATTACCTCAAAAAAAATTTAGTGAGCAAATCGGCAGACCCCAAAGGACCAATGTACATATGATTGAGGTAGTACAAATATATGGGTGAGCAGTATTGATTGCAAAAGCAAGTCCTATGGAAGAAATTGCTAATCAGCTACAATGAATCATCAACCAGGATTATGTGTTTTATTTTGATCATTAAATATAAGGAAATTTGTGTTCTAATTTGATCATTAAATATAAGGAAATTTAAAAGAGACACGGAATTGACACATCTGATATCTGAATAAGAACTAATACATGCATGCAAAATGTAAGCTCCACTAGACACACAACAACTTAAGGTGGTGTTGTGTGACAAGTGCATAATGTCCACTTGAACATCCATGGATTTTGTCATCAATTTGATGAATTAATTTTAAGATACAAAGCTTTCCTATCAGAATGGGTTGTTCAAAAGGTTTTCCTGGATACTCGGCTTCAAGTACTCACGGATTTGCTGTTTGCTTACTAGCTTGATATAATTCAGAAAACACCCGTTTTTCTCAAAGCTTCTTGTTCATACCTCTCACCAAAGGGCACTATTTGATAATATGTTTGTCTGGCAGACTTCCCGCTAACTCCAGTGAACATTCAAATATATGTCCAACATTCATTCATGAAGGCACTATTAATGGGTTGGAGCACCAAAAAAGTTTGTGAATAATTGTTGGCAATGCTTCAAGATTGCTTTTACTTTTCAGATTAACCTTTAAGATGAATTCCATTTATTTATCTATCGAACTTTTATTTGCCCGTGAATAATTCTTTTGTCAATAGATGGCAACTTTAAAAATCAGATTGAGTTCTTTCTGGAATTTAATACTAGTGGTTTAGACATATTGTTTCCTTAAGAAACTGAAATCTTTCACCAAGTAAACTAATGCGTACTATCTTTATGCCAACACCAGAATCAGATGACAAAAAGGTGAATTTTGCATCATCAACTATAAGAAACATTTTCAAAACCCATCAGTATAATTACACAACTATTGTGCTATTCTTCATAGCAGCAGGGACAGGGAATCTAGTCTACTTATAAGACCACAAGCAGAACTCATAGACAGGGATTAGGGGGTTAGGGCTAGTAGTTAGAATCATATGAAGTAATGCCTGCACCTTAACATAATTCACTTTCGGCCATTACAGAACTCATAGACAGGGATAAATGAGAAAGTCCTAACACAAACTTATTTCCTGCCAAACGCCCTATGTCTCAATGATTAAGGGATCAATCATGAACCAAAAATCCTTGGAATCAGTCCTCCCTTGTCATCTTCATGGCCAATCATATCAATTCTGAACCACAAAAAAAAAAAAGCAAACTTTTACATCTTGAATGACAGTTTCCAAAAAATGAATGAGCCCAGAACCAGTAACAACTACATTGAACTGAGATAATAATATTATTATTAGAAAAAACATAAGATCTGACTTGGAAAATGAAAAAAAAAAAAGAAGAGTTGGTTCCCAATAGAGTTGGCTGGCTTGAAGGTGACAAAGGGGATCGCCAGGACGAGTTGGTTCCTCTTCCTCACATTATGCTGTTTGGTGTGAGTGATATCCACTGGACATGCAATAGAGGTCCACTCAATTATAACTTGTCTTTTATATTATTGCACAGAAGAAGAAACAAAAAGGAGTGGTAGCCTTAGTTTCCTGTCAAAAGTTTGCTTAGTGCTAAAAGTACAGCTTCGACCCTGGTTGATCTTAATTTTCTTTGTTAAAGTTTTACTGATAATGCTCTAATCTTTAATATCGCTCTGGTGTGTGTGTAACGAATCTACAGTTCCGCTTTGATGCAAAATTTCTGGGTGCTTACGATTTTTACGGGAAGAACTACTTGGCATTAGCATTTCGCCATATTCTTCCCTTGAAACTCATCAAAATCTGTGGATTCTGGGATGGAAACACTGAAAATGCTATTTAGTTTGCAGGGGCTATGCTAAAGAATGCTTTGATGCTGCAAAAATTGGTCATTGATGCTCCAAAAAAGCACCCAGCCTTTACTACTATTGTAGACTCCTTGTTTTCTTTTAATGTAATTAAATACTTGAGAATGTCTAAAATTGCAGGAGTTGTACTTTGTAAAACTACCTTTTTTTTTTAAATGGAAAGAGACATTGAATCAGCTGCGTTCTGCTAATGCTATATATTCAATCTACAAGACCCCTTTTCAATTCTCAACTATATGAAACTCAATAAATTGTCCGCAAAATTGACAGCTAAAAGTGGGATTATAAAAAACTTGCACGGCTAAATTGTCGCATGAGTTAGCACATTTGAGAGCCATGTTTGAGACTTCAATTGAATTGGTTAGAAAATTGCCCACATATTTATTTTTTGTGACCATTATTCTTATTTTATTCACTATATATATATATATATATATATATATATACCACAAAGGACTTACAATAGTACAAATGATAATACAAAGTGGCAAAGTAACAATTGATATGCTAGAATTCATTTTTTTTGGTCGAACAAGACAGATATTAATAACAAATAAAAAGGTTCAGCCTTATGACTTTGAGTTCTAGCCGAATCTTCAACTACAAAAAAAGAAACAAAAGAAAGCAGAAAAGAAAAAAAAAAAGAAAGAAAGTGAAGTCATCATCAAAAGCATATTTAGCATTAACAATCAATGAAGAGAATTAAAAATAGAATTATTATTATTATTAAAACAAAGAGAATTTTAGGATCCCTGTTGCACATATACTCCTCAATTTTTCAAAAAAATTGTAAACATGCCCAAGGTGGCGAGGAATTGTAGAGCTAAAAATGCTAGTCATATCTAAAATTGAATACAAATGAAAACATAAATAAGTATAAAACAGTACAAGAAAAGCTAAAAAAATTAGAGAAAATCAAAAGCAGGTACCTGTTTTCCATTCCGATCAATTATTAAAGTTATCTCGCCATGTAAATCTAAGTGACAGCATAGATGACATAAGTCTAGGTAACGCTATGACAACATAGGCGACTCTCTACTCCTTGGGGATTTGGGAAGACGAAAATTTTCTTTATTTTTGAGTTTTGTTGTACTTTGTTTGTTTAATTCTTTTTTTTCTCTATTAGATTAATTTCTAATATTCGAAAATTTATCA